ATGGAGTGGAGGAGGAGGAAGTCGGCCACGGATGACTCGGATATGGCGGCCTTGGAGAGGGCCTTGTCGTTGGGCATCAAGAATGTGATGCCGCCTTGGATTATGTCGGGTGGGGCCATGTTAACGAGCATCACGAACGTGAAGTAGTTGGCTTTCTGCATCTCTCGGGTGGCCGCCTCTTTGTTGGATGTCAGGTTCGTGGCCGCCTTTGCGGACGGGCCGAGTAGTAGTGCTATTAGGACCACCAATAATAGAGTCATGGTGGAGAGAGTGAAATGAAATATATTATAGTTGGAGCAAGGCAAGAAAGACTTGATAGTAATGTAAGGACTATATATAAATTAGTAGTTGATTTAATTGGTGTTTTAGCTTGGGCATGCAATCTTGGTGTTGTAACAACTAAGGATCATCCATCTTCCATGAAACACAAGTTCTTGGTGACGTAGTGTTGATACCAACAAATTATAGAACGTGTTTTTTGTGATGAATATGGGATTAGAAAAGTATAACGAGTGGTTAGTGAGTGAGATTGGCAATATATATATATATATATATATATATATATATATATATATATTTGTATTTATTGTTGTGAGTGTTCTGTTTGTAGTGTGGTTCCCTAAGGGACATAACATAATTTAATGTATTTACTATTTGTACAAATTCTAAATACAAAATGTCATGATGTGTTCCGTGTCACGGACTATCTTCGCAAAAAAAATCGGCAGTCTTTTGTTATCTTTTAAGGTTCATGGTGATGGATATCTTTCTTTAATTTTATTATTATACACATTTCAGATTCTTATTTATTTTAATCTATTATTTATATTAACTACCTACAAAATAAAATTACCTCAACTTATAATAAATCGACACAACTAATACAAAATAAAATTACCTCAACTTATAATAAATCGACACAACTAAGTCCAAATAATAAAATTAATATATTTTAAAAAAACGTGGGAACAAAATAATGTAATTAATATTTAAACAAATTTAAAAAAAAAAACTAAAAAATTACCGCCGAGCCCGCCTAGGAGCGCCTAGGTCCGCCTATGTCCGCCTAGGCGCCGCCTAACCGCTTGGCTGTCGAGCCCGCCAAGGTTTCTTAGGAGCGCTTAGGGCCGCCGAGGCCCGCCTAAGAGCCCTTGGCCGATTTTTTCTGCCGATTTGTTCAAATCGGATGTGCTCGGGCACCGCCTAACGCCTAGGCCCGCCTAAGCTGATTTTTGGAACAGTACAACACACGGGTATTATTTTAAATTAATACTATTTATATTTAAAATCCACATGTTAGAAGCTAAAGACTAAAAAAAATAATAATAATAAATAAGGCCAGTGATAGAAAAATAAAATTCAAAATATTAGTAATAATAATAGAACTAACAAAATATCCCACTGCAAGCCATCTTTATTATTTGGATTCTAAAATATGTGAATTATCCCCTAATTGCTGGCCTACCTAGATTAATCTATAGTTGCTGGAGAATTGAATTGATTTAAACAAATTGGTACGGACTAACGCGACATGCGTCTCCTATAGACCACAGTTAATTTGATCAATCGCCGAGTGAGAAAAAAACACGAAACGTAAAACAAAATAACATGACATAAATAAAAATAAAATTAAAGAAAAAAATATTAAAATTACCTCTTCATGTTCCGTGGAGGAGAATCACCGAAGATGAACTAGGCGAAAAGGGGAGAGCAAGATGAAAAATATGGAACCCTTACGTTGGTGAGTTTTTTTGTGAATCATCTATCCCCAAAATGCTGTTCTAATGAGTTTTTTCTAAATTAAAGTTTTGAACCCAAAAAACTTATCAAATAAACTATTTACCAAACAGACTCAATAGTGAATTTGAAGGGTCAAACATCTCAATTAAGTCCAATCCGCTAATTTATCTTCAATCCGCTCTCTACCAAACGGGGTAACCAGCCCCTAAAGAGCTCATTATAGCCGTTCCTTTTCCCTCATTAAGCTCATTGATTGGCATATTTATGGCAAGAATCATGCTCGATCTCATTAGACCATGTTAAGTGGAATTCTCCTTTCGTTGCCTCATTTTTCTCCACCCCATTTGCTAAGTAAAAAAAAAAAAACTCCACTTGAGCTCAAGTTTTACCGAATACGATCATAAGCTGCTCGCGAATCGCGATCACTCAAGTCGAAACTCTGCTTGAGCTCGAGTTTTACTGGATACGAACAAGCTCGTGCGCCTCAAACTCAAATTCAAGGCAAATCCGAGCACGTATTTATAGGTTTGAGCTTGAGCAATTCCAATATAAGTGCAAATTATCTATACACCCGACACAGAACCCGTGACACAAGTTAAACTTGGATCAAACTCAAGAAAAAAACTTATTTATTTCGATAGAAATTTATTAAGTTGAAGTCGAAGAAATTCGATCCTAACTCAAGCATTTGTATAATCTTGTCCAATCAAGCTCGTCGAGCTCAAGAAGCATTGAAAAAATCGAATCACAATAAAACTGATGTCCGTCAGCTCATTTTTGCCACCCTAATAGCAACTATAAATGACCAATGTGCCCGTTTTTGTCGGTATATTTTCATTTTAGTATGCATTTGTTCAAGTATTTTCATTTTAGTGAGTTTTGTTGCTTTTTAAATGTACTTTTTCTGTATTATCTTTCATATCCCTATTTCTAGTAATTAGTGATTTTTCACTTGTTCTTGTATGTGCTATTAAAAAAAAAAAAAAAANAAAAAAAAAAAAAAAATGGGTGGTGCAAATTTGGTAGTCACCTGAGGGGTGGATAATGACAGTCCGTTAGATCAAAGTCTCCTCCCTCATTGTACAAAGAAATCTTCATAAGCTCGCTGTTTAATCTGGTAAAGACGATAAAACCTGGTATCTTACATTGCTCTAGAACACCAAAGTGTATATGCATCATTAATTTTGTATACGTCTCAAGAGTATAGCTGTAGATCCACATGAACCAGCAAAAACCACCACTACTGCTTGAGAATTTAGGCACTTAGCAACATGGAAATAACAGAAGACAGCTTATACTTTCGATGTTTTGTGGAATTTTGCGGCTGGAGAAGAACTTCTGTGCTCGACCTAACCGTCACTTCCTCATACTCTGAAGAGTGGGAAGACCCCTCAACTCTGTAGTCACGTGGGTAATACAAAACTTGGACGGTTGAATGAGCTGGCATACAAAGGAAAACCGTAAGCATTCGATCATTTGCCTCAATTCATAAAGCGATTTGACCGAATAAAGATGTGTTGAGTAATTACCAAAGCCAAACATGCTTATCTTCTGAATGCTCAGGTGGCTAACTTTCGATCGCCTGATCTTTCTCAATGCCTCAAGGTCATCTTGCTTCCCTTTGAATTCGATGAATTCTCCAAGAACGTACCTGTTGCCTTTGAGCTCTAACCTGTGTTATGTCGAGAGACCACCATTTTTTATGAGAACATCACAAGCACGAGCATGAATAACACTCTGTTTTATACTTAGAAAACCCAGTCGTTTACACCATTTAAATGGCTAATGCAGATCCGAGGTGATTTCCCCATGGATGGCCACAAAGCAAGAGGAGAGGCCATAGTGAGAGACCTCGCCAGCACAAGGCGCCAAATCCAATATTAACAAAAATAACAATACTATAGACAACGTAATGACATAAATGACCTCATATATGCCCAGACCACAAGTGTTAAGCTAATACAAAATCAAGGAAAATAAGTGGAAACACAAAGAAGGCTATGACGAAATATAGCTATAGATGTTATCGATGTTGTCAATTTCAAGTATAAGATTTGAATAAAAAATCATGACAGTTGGCAACACAAAAAAAATAAAAATAGAATTATATATATAAAGGGACTATTCGACATGTTTTTTTTCGAATTTTATCTCACCGGAAAATAATTTTTTTAACAGATCTACGATTGTTACATATTTATTTAAGAAAAACACACATTTATCATCTCCCACTTTTTTCTCCTCAATCCTATCAATCACAATTAAATACTACAAATCAACTATTACTACATATTTTTAAAAAAAAAAATCACATCGATATATTTTTAACTAACAATCATTGTCATTCATATTTTATTGTTTTTCTATCAATCAACTATAATCACTACATTTTATCAAAATTTTATCTGATATCCATTCACAATCTCAAAATATTCCATTCTTCCACCCAAAAAAGAAAGCATCTACTCTTTAACTCGCTTTTCCATTCCAACATTTTTTTTCCAAAATAATTGCATCACCAGCAAACCTTATTCACGCAACTCCTTGCTGCAACTATTACGCTTTTTCCTCTGAAAAGAGGAACTCTTTCTGACTAGCAGCTAGTCAGGACTAGTAAAAGACAGAACATAAAATAGATAAAGAAAAACTAAAATAAAAAAAGAAAATAGTTGACAAGTCTGTACTGTAAGAATAATTTCATATTCTGCTCTATTTTTAAAAAATTCTGAATCTAGTTGGTTTGTTAGGGTTCGAAAGGAAATCCTAATGCCATGGCGAGCCTCTTATTCCATTTTAGCCCCACCCCCCACGGCGAATAGGCTGCGCTGACCTGAGGCAATGCAATTTGAGATCACATCACTCGACTCTCGGCTTAGCAGCACCTTTTGAAATTATGCTTCACTTAGTCCAACTATTCGGACAGACTCTAAAACATAAGATCCCATTAATTAGGTATGATGGATCAAACTTGTAAATTGTAATATCATGAGATCATATAACTAACATCAACAACTATTTGAGTATTTGTTCATTTTAATCAAACCTCAATTTTTTATTTTCTTCTTTTTAAAACCTGTGCATTTTCATAAACACCATCAATTTCAAGGTTCTTACTATTTTTAGTTTTTAATTATTGTTATTATTATTGTAAACCATGATTAAGAAACTAGACCCAAGCCTTTGTTCTCAAACCAATCATGGGACATGTCTGGATAGCCCTGAGAACACTGTTGAACTAGTCAAACTGGTTAAGAACCCGCCAAACTCCAAAAGAGAGACATAAGGGAGGAGAACCAGTTTTTATTGGTTTTTTTTACATTATTTTATAAAAATTATTAAACTACTTAATAATTTGTATATGCATAACATTACTTTGATTTTATATAAGAGCAAGTACTTTGAGTCAATAATTAATATGTATTTAGTTTAGTTTACAAAAGATACATGTATGATAATTGGTAGAATAAAATACTAATGATCACTAAAGTAAAATAAAAACAATTGTATAACTTATACCAATAGGGTAAATTAATATATAAATTACAAAATAAAAATATGCTAAAACTAATATTAAAAAATTAATATATTCACTTATATGCCAAGTTAATATTTCATCACTACTATTATATATTCTATTTTTTTTATTTTTTGAGCACATCACTACTATTATATTGAATGAATGTTTCAGTTATAACATTAGCAAATATATATAAATCCCTTCTATATAATGCAGAGTTTTTCGAGTTTAAGTGTCAAACTTCTAATGTTAAGTAATGATGCGTACCAAATTTTGTGCTTAATAATCTTACATATATGCTTCGGAGCTGTTCCAGGACATTTACCCATGCCTATTAGAGCATTTAAATTATAACGCATTTAGCTAACTTAAATTTATTTTAAAACTTAATAAATTTTTCATTTGTTATTAATTTTCCATATACACAATACTAAATTAATAATCTTTTGACGATCATCAATTTGATATTCATATTATATATATAAGAGATAATAATTATATCTACCTTTATATGCAAGTCTTATGCATGATGGGTGACTTTTTAAATAAAAATATAAATAAACATTTTTTAAAAAAGTACTTGAAAATTTTAAATAAAATTTCCTATTTTTATTTTTTTATGTTTTTAATTACAAATTTCTTAAACACTCATGTAACTCTGGGACGTTGACTAATACTAGTTATATTGTCCATCGATCTGGTTTTTTAATCATTGATTGTAATTATACTTTAGAAATCCACAAAAATTGTACTTCAACTTCAATGGAAACTGACAAATACTGCAATACATGAAGTAGTAACATAATCTGAAAATGAAAGGGTATCGAACCTATCTAAAATTGGAACAGTGCTGAGAACAGACTTGAGCTTCTCGAGAATGGAGTTATTCATTTTATCCTTTCCACCATGAAGAACACCTTTGATCCATCCAGAATACGAACCTTTCGTCTCAGGTTTTAAGTGTTTCCACTGATCGTAAGGAATAACCTCAGGTGGAAAGGAGTCTGAAATTGAACTGCAAGAGCAATGGAATGTGGGTATGGACAGAGAAAATGGTGTTTCTATAATCGATAAAAAAGCCAATTATAAGTCTCAAAAACACATGCACCATCCTGGTTTGACTTATTTCCATATCAAAGTATGCTATAAGTCGTTGTGGGAATTGTAGCTTAAACTATGAAACATGCAATGGAGGGTGTTTTACGTTATGAGCATCGCCAATTAAAAAGAGAAAGGAAAACGTACCAAAATTTTGGGTTCGGGCAAATGACTTTAAAAGACAAATATCCTTCTGGGAGCGTGACTCCCCTTTGCTCAAGATATTCTTCTAGAGTGGAAACCAATTGTCTTGTTTCAGCAACCTGAGTTGAAGAATTTGACACAGTGATGCAAGAACTATGTAACGGACCACAAAAGAAAGAGGTAAAAAATTTTACTCAACACACTTTAATGTCATATTTGAAAGTGAAACTGGAAAATCTCAGCATCAAACTAGCAACAGATCATGACAAGATACACGCATCAGGTTCCCTATAAAGTTTCTATGCCTTTCAACCCATCAAGGAGCAAGATAGTTGAGGTACAATAGTCCAACATGAAGACGACGAAAGGCAACAGGCCAAACAGAAAAAGTTCACCTACCATAATTTTGAGGTCATAACAAATATAAAATTTGATCGATTTCTAGCATTACCTCCGTTATTCACTTTAGATGGCAGTTAAACGGACATTGAACCAGAAACAGAAAAACAACTCACAGGATTAGGAATACAATTGGTTTTGTGGTGCTTCCCATCAGTGAAAATCCAATTGCCATCCTTATTAATGGACACAAATCCTGAAAAATTCTTCACGGAAATGACCACGGCCTCCCTGCAGAGGCAATATGATAAGAGAAAATCAACTATCACTCATTCAATAGCTCACTTGATTTCTTGATAACAATTCAAATGAGAAAGATCGTTCTCACATTTGAAGATTAAAATAGGAACATTCACAATAGGCAGCCATGGTAAAGATCAATAGTACGCAAGAAGCCTAGAAATACATGAGAAAGAGACACAGAGAGAGAGAGAGAGATTACTGATTAGTGACTAGAACAAGGTCAATATTCCGGCGAGAAGCTGAATCGGCGTCGGGAATCTGGATGCCGACGTAGACTTTACTCCCATGGTACAGCTTTTCTAGCCTGTAATGCAACACGCAATATCGAGCGCACAAAAGCCCCCAAAATATGGAAATCGAAGGCGGAAAAATCATCACAATTGAAAAAGAAAAGCGAAGGACTAGCAAAAAACCTTTTGGCGACGGCAAAGAGAGCGGTGGAGTGGGAGGAGTCGAGATCGAGAAGGGTGTCGTCTTCGTAGAAGAAGAGCTTCACAAAGAGGTACACAGCAACGCCGCATATCACCGCCACCCACATCTT